TTGTGGAACTCAATGCACTGAATCTCCACAAATTAGTGTCGTTACTATGACAACCAATTTGAATGTGACAAGCAACTGGTGTCTGAAAATAATTATATAATTCTTTTGGGGGGGGCAATAGGGATTTCACCTAGGGCGTCAAATTGGCTAGGAACAGCCCTGCTTGTAACCCTGACACTGACTGTTACCTCCGCATTGCAAACATTTATTTTCCTTCTCTGTCCATTAGATGAATATGCTGATGAAGCTACAGGAAGCTGCAAACTACTCCAGCGCCCAGAGCTGTGACAGCGACAGCGCCAGTCACCACGACGACCTGCTGGACTCCTCATTGGAGTCTGCCCTCTAAGCCCCACCCCATTAGAAGAAGAAACCTTCTGATTGGTTGAAAACAGAGCAAAGGGCCCACAGGACTTGTGCTTATGAAACAGACTTATGAAACGCCTGACGCCTCCGGTGGTAAAAGGATGCAGAATCCAGGATACGGCGAATGAAAAGGTGCTGGTGGCACACACGACACTGGCGAAAAAGCGTGTGTGCCCACATAATTAAAAAAACAACTGGAATTTGAATTTGTTGGAGGTGATCCGTTAGCTAAACATGTTTACAGAGGCAAGAGTTTATTTTAAATTCACTGAGGTGCAAAAACCTAAAGGGCAACATTCTGAATTCTGACCTCAGTTAATAAACTGGTGCTGCCGTGGTGCCAAAACCAACATGCGGTTTACACTCATCTCGCCAGCACTATTCATGAAACACACGTCTAGCCAACAAGCACAAACGTGCAACGTGTCATTACCGCTACTGTCAAATCATACGCAAATTCGCCACCACTCGTTTTTCTGCCAAGCGTATAGTGACCTACAGCATCCCTGCACCACTGACTGCAGCTTACACACCGTTCCATGCAGTAGTCTTTCATTGGACCCCACAGCCGTGTGCGTAGTTCTTTCTCTTCTCCACAGGTACAAGGCAACTGCTTGTAGGAGAGTGTACCAGCTTTGTGAAAAAGACCAGAAAATGGTGCTTTCTTGCTGCCTTAAGTGTGCTGAGCTCTGAAGACATTTAAACGTGGTGCCGCTGTCCTTTTTCGCAGAAACGATGACGTAGGACAGAACCGATCAAACATTTTCCTAAAGATGCCACGTCCACATATTTTATTTTTGTTACAATTAGTGTGTTAGTGTAAAACACGCCATTATAAACGGTCCAAATGTATAAAAGTAAAAAAGATGTTTATGTAATCCCAGTTGAGCTGGGATCACTTGAATCGAGAGCACAAATCCGACGCGTCGCTTCGCTAGCATGCTGTTTTTACTTTGCTATATGTGTGTATGTGCACGCTGAAACGTTTTTGTTTTTTTTCCGCTCCCGTGCGCCAGTGTTCTTGTAGTCGAAGTTCATTCATTCTTTCTTTTCTTTGCTATGTGGGTTTTGCACAATTGAAAAGGTGATTGTAAATATCCAAGTCTTGCACAGCCTCTTAAAGATGCACTCTGGCCGGTCGGTATTGCGTTTCTGCTCTTCTAGTCTAGCATTACGCTCTTGAGATTTACAGAGAAAAAAAAAGCAAACCAGCAACCTGTCCAAACCGTATATGTCTTGTAATGACTGGTTATTATACAGAGCTCTAAACTGTACAGTGAAGGGTGAAGTGTTTTTCAATTTCAAAAAACGTTAGTGTCAGTTTACTGTTCAAGGGCGTAAAATCAGTTTTATCTTCGCAATGCATCAGAGCCTGACCATATCTAACTTGCATTACACTGTTACACTTCCTATCCTGCAGCTTTCAGATACACTGGTCCCTTTGGATGTAAGCCACACCTAAAGACCCCATGAATGTTTTCTGACAACCGCAAGTTATTGTAGAACCTGACTGCCGAAAATAGCCATTCTAAAGAGCATTTGATTGGACAAAAAATGTGTATGCATCTTTAAACGCAGGATACGTCGTATTTCTGTCTATTATGATTCAAATATGTTCATGAAAGATAAATACTGTACATTTTAAATGTGAATATCTGCTTAAAATATTTTTGTCAACTTTTAGGAGTACAGGAGCATATAAATGACCTTAAAACTATAAGGCAGACAAAAAGCCACAAAACTCTTCATTTTGAATTCATGGGATTTAAAAAAATTCACGAGTATCATTGCACTAGATTAAAAAAAAAATCTAATCAAGTGGCTTATATTCTGCAAACAAACATCTCACAAAGTGTGTTACATTTTTAAATAATGAAACATTAGAGTGTTCAAAATGAAGACAAAAAGTACTTTCTAAAAATTGCTGGGTTGTTTCAACCAATTTTTGGGTCAAATATGGACTAACCCAACTGTTGGGTTAAAAAGTTCATTTAAAAATGTAACCAAAATTTAACCCAACAGTTGGGTTAGTCCATATTTGACCCAAAATTAGGTTGAAACAACCCAGCATTTTTAGAGTGTATACACTTTCTGATCGTAGATAAACTACACATGTGGTTACTTTGCAAGGACTTATTTGGGACTCCACTACCAAATTAACACGAGGCAAAATTCATTGCAAAAATGGCTTAGAAAAGTGAAGTTAGTTGAAGGTGTAATATTTTTTGTTATGAAGATGCAACTTGGTTTGGTGTTTTGCTATCTAATGCAATGATATTCAAGTGTCTGAATACTTCGTAGGGCCACTGTCAGTCACTTACGATTTAGCAAAAATGTTAAACCGATACCCAATTTACTGTGAAAGACTTTTCATTGGATTATATTTTAAGAGTTTGCACATTAGTAAATTAGTCTCTTGTTTGTTTGATGTACATGGTCAGGAGATACAAGGTGTTTCATACACGGTGCTATAGGTGAATCACTGAAAAGATTTGCATCTCTGTCTTATATGATCAGGCCTTTACCACATCCAGCTTCACCTTCTGACTCAAACTGCTTGGCACAAAGTAACTCATTCTCACTGCCACAGTTTTACAGGCTTTAACCTTCCAGTCTTTCCAATCTACCTTTTTGTTGAGTCAGGAAACTGCTTCTTTTTTAATTCCTCGGCACTACAGCGGTGCTATGTATTAACCTCCAAACTCTGTGACTCTGTGACTGATGCTTTGCTTGTCAGCCATTGTTCAGTGTAAAACTACTTAACAGAAACATTTATAAGAAGTGCAGTAAAGGTTTCAAACTGCCTAATGGTCCCTTAACCTCAAACACAAATAGTGATTGTCCGTGGTACATCAGAAATCTTCTTTTCATTTTCTTCATGTTACTGCAAACACATCTCTCGGTGAGCGCATAACGTTGAACTACTTTGAAAATGTTTCTTTTCAGGTGGAACATTTGTTGGTGGATGTTTTATATTTTGTACATTTGTAAGTAACATATCATGTAAATAGAAAGAGACCACAATTTAATTCATCTGGGGGATTTTGTAGTCTTTGTAAAGCCCTAATAAATGGTATTTGGTGTCACCTGCAGCATTGAGTGTTGATTCATTATTTATATATTTATCAAAATTATTGTATAATTGTGTGTGTGTGTGTGTCATTTTGTCTTGCAAAGTCCAATTCAGTTCAGTTTTTTTTACCAATAAATGATTCACTAATGAAACTTGTTATGCCCTCTTGTGGTTTTGGAAGAAAATAGCGTCACGCCTGTGCTGTGGCCACAGCTTATTCTGAATTGATTACAGTGAGTTAGTCCAGAGTACATTTCTCTACAGCTTTAGACTTGTGATGAACTGACTTCAAAAACAAATGCAATATTTGTTGGGTTTATTTTAGGTTGCCAAGCTTCTGAAATTGCATACTGTCTTAGTAGAATATGTAATTACTTTGCAGCCTTTACAGTATATTCTATATGGAAATATTCTATGTAGAATGAATGTGTGTGGTATAAATGTAATCCCGATGTACTATATTCGTCCCTGTCATGTGACCTACAGCATTATTTGTGATTACCAAATCCTCTATCGTGGCCTCATAGGACAGTCAAGTCTCCATTTGATGTGCACTTCAGAATCTCTCTACTTTTGCCTCATTTGGACAACCTGCTCTTTTCACATACTACACATAGTAGGGAAGTATGCACTATGCACTTTTGCTAATGAATGATCTGCAGAGTTATGCTGGCATGATTGACCTCTGTGTGATCTGTGGTCTGACAGGCTGGTCCGCAATAGCCTTTCAGCTGCACACCTTATTAAACTGACCTTCAAAACAGAAAACTTATTCATGTCTGCAGTGGTTCTCATTTTTAGACTGCATTTTTACATGAGTGATAAAAAAGCTGTTGTCTAGTTATGCCCTCAAAAGTGTGTATTATCACCACACTTTATTCAATGAGGTTTCCTCTAAACTTGTGAAGTTGTATTTGTCTCTTCAAACTGAATCAGTGTCTTGCTTTGTCAAGATCAGGAACAAGCAGCGGCTTTTTCCTAGAAACCCAAGCAATAAACAGTGCAAAGCTCCCTTCCCACGCCATTTATTAAAATTAAGCTGCAAAAACAAATCGGTCATAAATTGTAATGATAATGTCTAAAGGTCAAGGAGGGGTGGAAAATGGCCATATAAAACTAAACTATGACATGTATATAGCCCATTTAAAACCTTTTAGCACACAGTCACTGTATATTTACAGCTTAAATGCAGCTTCTGTGCAATGTAGGAATAGCCACAAATTGGTTAACCGAACAAACATTTTGATCAAATAAGTTTGAATATGTGTTTTATGTTTTGTATCATATTAGATACATCAGCCTTTTATGACCCGTAATATAGTGAGAATATGGCGCTCACACACATCCGTTTTATTTAGAGCACCAAACTGAGCAAAATATGCAGTTTGGTGCAGCTGTTTCTTCATATGGCCAAATAGTAAGATGACATTTTGATAGCTTGTAATGTAAATCAATGAGATTCGTTATTCACAGCTTTTCACTTCCCAAGACGTGAACTGATTTACTGGAGCCGTGTGGATAACTTGTGAATTATTGTGATGTTTTGATCAGCTGTTTGGACTCTCATGCTGACGGCACCCATTCACTGTAGAGGATCCATTGCTGAGCAAATTATGCAATGCTAAATTTCTCCAAATCTGTACTCTTCTCCTGACATCAGTACAAACAAGCAAGTAGATAAAATGTCTTAGCCAAGAGGAAGGTGTGCGCTTAATTTGAGGATTGTAAACTGAAAATCTTGAGAGTGTTGCTGTGCAGGGTTGATTGATCCTTTCCGTTCCTTTCCCAGCATCACTCTGAGCTTCAATCTCTCTCTGGGCTTCCACTTGTCAGATAAATAAATGGCTTATCAGTGTCTAATTCCATAATAGCTAATTATTGATCTGCATGAGCTGGCAGTGTAATTGAAATGAGGCTGGAACATTGTGTCTCGGAGTGCTGGGAATAGAGACGACCTCACCGTGAATCATTCTCTCCGGTTCACGAAAGACGTCAGTAGATTTGTGTACCCTCTGGCAGATGAAGAATTTGCAGCAGATTAAAACTCTCGCTATGTTGATGACATGAGGTGATTTTATTAGTGAGAACATTTTAGCTGCTTACCTCAAATAGACTACACTGTACACTGAAGAGCAATTCCCATCAGCAAAATGCAAAACACCTGTTTTTGGTAAAGCAATTTCTGTAACAAATTGGTATACTGGATCAAAATAAGCTAAAGAAATAACATTTATGCATCAAGGAATAACAAACTATCAGATACAAAAAAATGTCAGTTATTTATTATAATTTATTCAGACTCCTTCTACTGAACTTTCGCCACAGTTCTTCAAAATTCTGCAGTGCTGATAAAATAACCATATTTCATAATCATATCATGCATGAATTAAATATGCTAGCCATTTTGTTTTTAGCGTTGCAATATCAAGTTTCTATCAAACAATGTAAGCACAATCATTTAAAATAATGAAGAAAAAAAAGAAATATGGAAATAAAACCTTCAGTATGAAGATAATGTTGACAAAAGTAAGAACACAACCATGGAACTTTATAAAGAGTGTATTTTTAACCCATTACATAATTGAAATTAAATTGACCTTTTATTTCAGGACATCCGGAAGTAGTAGGAATGTTTGCTTAAAAATACATATTTAAATTTTGTTTTTAGTGATACTAGTGATCATCTCTGATATATGTTGACATGTTCTTTTAAAAACTACTTGCAGAAAGTGTTCAGTCTCAGTGAATCAGTGACCTATTATAGATATTTGGGGGTGGGGGGATTAAATACAAATAATAATAAAAAAAAAATGTTCATGATCACGACTTTCCTGTGTGTTGAGCTAATCAAATGCAAATTTGAAATCCCTCATTTTCAGTGCGCTGTGAGCCGTAGAGGTCAGTTTGCTCATAAATATAATCTACAAAGTCCCATGAGATAATCTAAAATGAAAAACAGCACGCAGAGTTGCAGTGGTTGCATGAAAACGACCAAGCCTTCCCCATTACAAAAAAAAAAAAATACTTTTCAGAAATAATAAAAAGCGCCTTTGTGTGGCATAATGAGGTAAATTATAGCTTGAGCGGTTGGTGAAAATGACAGGGTGTCAGTCATTCTGTGCTCTTAAACACCCACATTAATTATATCAGCTTCACATCAGTCAAGCTTTTATCAGGTGGCTGTCTGAGAATCCTGCTTAGTGAATACAACGTTTCATCGGAAATAGATTTTTGTGGCTTGTTTTTGTAAATAGGCCATGTCTTAACTGTAGAAAATTTAGTACAGTGTTAAAACTTTTCAGGGAAAATGGCTGACTTCAGAAGTTCGGGATCTGTAGTCCCATTCTGAGCTGAGAGATGCTTTTCTACACTAAAGAGTCTCTATTTCAGGCCCATCATTTCTGCTTATTTATCTAAAAAAAAATCACTAGTGACTAGTTCTACGATCTTTAAGGTAAAGGTGTCGTTTCTTCTTCCAACAAAACTTTGAGACTGCAAAGTACATACACTGGTGAACAGGCCTCAAACAGGCAAATCCAGCCCTCCATGCTTAGATGGGAACATGCATAAGGGTTGATAAGTGAAGTGTGCTGCTGTCAGGCAGGTCTGTTCAGTGTTTGCACAGGTTCAGGTCAAAGACATTATACACAGCATGGGATTTCTGACTTTATCACATGTCTCTAGTATATCTTCTGATGGTCTCAGAGGAGCTCCAAGCTCAAGAAGAGCGATACGATGGGTGAGAATCTGGATGGAAAGATAAGGCAGAGGCAGAAAAAGAGATCTCACATAAACATACAAATTCACATTCATGACACTTGTAATCCTACA